AGGAGCAAACCAGCAACGTAGGTTTGTACCCTGACTAGGAATCAAACCTGCAACCTTCTGGTGTATGGGATGACACTCCATCAGACTGAGCCACCTGACCGAAGCCATATAATTCCCTTTTGCATTTAGCTAGCTTGAGTTGGATTTCTGTCAATTACAGTGGAAAAAACCTGACCAGTATAACAGGTGAGGAAGCTGGAGGTGTGTCTTGGAGGATAGATGTGCCATTTATTAAAATGATGAAGGCAAGATGACCAGCTGGCTCAGGAAATGAGAATTGGAAATGCCTATGAGATACCAAAGTGGAACTATTAAGTAGTTGTGGATATATGGATTTGGAGTTCACTCAAGAACAATGAAGTATGGACATAAGTTTGGGCATCACTGGCATTGAGAGGATATCCAAAACCATAGGACAGTATGAGGTGAGATCATGAGGAAGAGACTATTCAGTGGAAAGATAAGAGGAGCCAGGATGAGGCGCTGAAGAACTCTAAGATCTGTGTACCTGATTCCATAGGTCAGATAGATGCCAGATTTTAACAAAGGTGAAGGTCTGCAACCCGCTCACCCTCCCCCACTTCCTTACAGCTACAGTTTGTTTGCTGGATGATGTTTAACTTTCATTGACATGTGTCAAAAAAGAAGGCTGGGAGAGTTGCGTGTGTTTGTGTGTGTGACCGTGTGACTTTACGTAATGAGACTGATTTTCTAGGTTATGAGCCTATATAATCTGTTGGATTAAGAGCGAAACCGAGTTAAGTAATGGAGTCAGTACTCAAACCCAGGTCTCTCTGACTCTCACAGGGACAGGTTGCTTCTCTGCTCCCTTCCACTTCACCTCACCATCAAATCAAATTGTAACCTAAATAAAAATCCAAACCAAATACATCTGAGAGCTGGATTCACCTGACCTTTTCTCTCAGTCTAGGAGCCATGTCCACCTTGTTTCCCTCCCTCTTCCCCCGTGTGACGGAGACTCTGTGGTTTAATCTGGATCGACCTTGTGTGGAAGAGACAGAGCTGCAGCAGCAAGAACAGCAGCATCAGGCCTGGCTCCAGAGCATTGCAGAGAAAGACAACAACCTGGTACCTATTGGCAAGCCAGCCTCAGAGCACTATGATGATGAGGAAGAGGAGGATGAAGATGATGACGAGGATAGTGAAGAGGACTCAGAGGATGATGAGGACATGCAGGACATGGACGAGATGAATGACTACAATGAGTCACCTGATGATGGAGAGGTCAATGAGGTGGACATGGAAGGCAACGAACAGGATCAGGACCAGTGGATGATCTAGGTAGACAAGGCAGGGTGGCTTCAGGGAGATTCCAGGCCAACCCAACCTACCCTGTAACTCCTGCAGAACCAGCTGATCACCCAGTGCCTGAAAGCTCACCCTCAGGCACCTTCTCAGCTGCTGCTAGGACCTGGTCTCCTTGGCCCCTCCCAGGCCATCAGCCTGCCCTTGAATCCCCAGGACTTGAACCCACCCTATCTTTCTGGCCAATACCTCATCCCTTGGTTGTCAGGTGTAGTTTCTTTCTAACTTTCTTTAATAAAGACACAGGAAAAAAAAAAAAGAGTGAAGCCATACATCCTCATTAGGACATATATATAATGACAATTAGAAGTTGTGTTTTCTGCAAATAAAATTACCTGATTTTGCCCTGGCCAGTTTGGCTCAGTGGTTAGAGCGTCGGCCTGCGGTCTGGAGAGACCTGGGTTCGGTTCCCGCTAAGGGCACGTACCTAGGTTGCAGTTTGTCCCCGGCCCTGGTTGGTCGTGCGGGTGGCAGCCACTCAATGTGTCCCTTCATGTCAATGTTTCTCTCTCTCTCTCCCTTCCTCTCTCTCCCTCCCACTCTATCTGTACAAAAAATGGAAAAATATCCTCGGGTGAGGATAAAAAAAAAAAAATTACCTGATTTTATCATTCATTAAGTACTTCATGAACACTTGAGAAATAGAATTTTAAAATTTCTCAATTAAAAAATATAAAAATATTGATCGTTGATTATGTTAAGGTCCAAAAGAGCTCTAAAAAACTATGAATCTTCACAATACTTAGTCTCTACAGATTAGCTTCTGAGCATCATTCTCTCCTATTGAGAGCTGCTGTCTCCCTTTCAATTTCTTCTGACATCTTTTTATATATGTTAAGTGAACTCAGAAATAAGTGAAGATCCAGGTGTTATTTTCTTTCAGTAATGACAGAAGTTATTCAGGGAGGATCAACAATTTATAAATTTATGAGATGATATGGGTATGATTACTAAAATTTTATCTTTCCCCATCATTGTTTCTGATACTTTAAATTAATAATCAAATTGAAAATATTGGACTAAACTTATTCCTTATATATTCTCTCATATATTTCCTTATACGTTCCTTGGATGACCTTGTTTAATGAATGAACAAATAAGTACCATACATGATTTTTACCAATAATACATAGATTGTGTGAAAAGTCTAGAAATATAGGGAAAATATTTTATTTATTGTATTTTTTCAGATTAATAATTGGTTTAAATGTAGAAATACTTTACCTGAAAAAAAATATGGAGAGTAAAGAAAAATATAGCCACAATATTTTTTGAAAATATAACTAACCTCTTAATTTTAATTTTACTCTACATGATGGAACTCAGCTGCTCAGATGGATTAATTATAATTTTTGGTTTATGTCATTCTCTCATCAGTTGTCTAGCTAGTCACTTTAATTCATTTTTTAAATTACTTAATTATTTATTTTTTTCATAGTGGAATAACCATCCATAAATCCACTATCTAAAACAGAAGCTAGTACTCTAACAACAGCCCTCATCCAACCCCTAGCTCCCCCATTAACCCATCCCCCTCCTCCCACCCACCCAAAGGATCCATCACCCAGAATGTTCATTGTTCCTTTGATCTAATTTGAATGATATATAGATTAGTATAAAGTAATTAATCACAAAATGATGTCCTCTCATCCCAAGTGATTTTTAAAATATCTAAAATATTTCTATTGACTACTTAGGGCTATAAAAGGTTTTATTTTATTAAAATATACAGTGCTATATGGACACATTTACAAACACACAGTCATTAGATTGCCGAGGCATACAGAACTGGCCCAGGGATTAAGTATTTTAAAAATCCATTCCATTAGATTTCTGGATTATCACGTCCCTTTCTCTTAAGACATTCGTTGCTTAATTTAAATGCAAAGTCACGTTTAAGATTATTCTTGGACTTCTGAAATGAAGGACTAATGAATGTCTTTTAAATTGGGAAACAGTGAGGATAGGAGAGAAATCCTGCTGCAAAACTCCCCAGTCAGCAAAAGCAAGGTAAGTATGATGATGATTCATGGTATTTAGTATCCTTTGTTAAGATACATGAACCTCCTAAGAGGAGAAAAGTGAGAGCTGTGGTAAGAATGAGATGGAAACATACACATGTGATCCTCAAACCTTCCTTTCTACCCCTCCTCAGTAACCTGAACAGTAGCAGCGGATACAACAAAGTGAGTTTAAAAGTGTGGTATAAATTATTCATGGAATGGCAACTTTCAATTCTGAATATAGATATTTAAAAGCATCATGCATGTTTAGGAGGGCTTAGTTGAAACCCTGAGTATTTCTGGTTTCAACATTTGGTCACTGTGAGCCAATATACACATGTATTTTTTTAAAATGATGTAGAATTGCCAAAGTTGCTAACCAGAAAATTCTTTCATAGACAGTGCAGTGTTTAACCTTTCCTTTCTTCACTTACCTTTAGTTCCTACTCACTCCCAGTTGGTTGAAGTGTTTATATGTAAACAAAACACCCATTGAAACTCTGATGAAATGGATTCACCCATTTTTTTTAAGTTGCAGGTTATTATTATTTTGACAATATACAATATGCATTATAATCTTATAAATATTTTAATTTCTTAAGCTATTGAACTCCAGTGACCTTTACAGGGGACTTTTACAACTCACTGCTGCAAATATTGACACTTAATCATAGGAGAAAATAATGTTAAAATAGTTCAAGTATAAAATCACAGGTGGAGGAGTTGTTCTTAAACATTAATAAGGCCAAGAACTCATTTACACATAATCTGTAAATCTGAAGTTATGAAACTATATAGTGATAAGGAACCTAAAAGCTAACAAAGGTTAAGATCTATGGCCATTTTTGTTTTTCCATTTGGGCCTAGAAATACATTTTTCCTTTCCTGAATGAACCAATATAGGCCATTACAGAGAAAAACAAATAGAAGCAAAAAACAAACGTTTAAGGCAAGTGCTGGCCCAAGAGGCAGGACTTCCCATTTAAGATACCCCAAAGGAACTCTTAATTGTTTCACTAGCAGTTAGCACTTTTACATCTCCTTTGATAGAACAGAGAAGCAGAGTCCAGGAAGACACCAGTGGTTAAATAGTGCTGCCTCCGGGGACGAAAAGAGATGCTTATATTTCTCACAAGATTTTTGCCCCGCTCAGCCGCAGGCCTGATGAAAGGGGGAGCCGTCTACACATTCACCACTCCGGATGAAGCACAATGGGTGGGCCTGGGCTGGGAGCAGGTTCCTCTTCTCCGGGTTGAACTGTGTTTGGGGATCTGAGATCCTAAAACTCCCTTAATGAGGAAAACGATACACTTCACCCCAGGAGCGATTTTCTCTCCCCTCCTCCCCCTCTGCTCTCAGCAGGGTGTTTGACCTTATAGTCCACTGCGTTCCCAGTGCCCCCGCGCCAGCTGTGTTCCTGACCCCAGAATAAATCAGGACAGCACCGGGCCTGGCAGAGCTCTGGGCACATTTCCTGTCTCGGCCTAAGGGAAGTTGTTCGCCGCCAGGACCCTGGTGGGGATTGTTGGAGGTTGGGGGTGGGTGTGGGACGGGGGAAGTAAGGGTAGAGGGCCAACTGTAGAGGGCGGTGACCGCGCTCTAGGGACAGCTCAGTGCACTTGGGCGGGACAGATCCAAGTTGGGAGCAGCAGTGGGCGCCGGGCCTCCAACATGAGACCAGCGCTCGCCCTGTGCCTCCTCTGGCAGGCGTTCTGGCCCCGGCCGGGCCTTGGCGAGCACCCCACCGCGGATCGCGCGGGCTGCTCCGCTTCTGGGGCCTGCTACAGCCTGCACTACGCGACCATCAAGCAGCGGGCAGCCCGAGAGGCCTGCAACCTTCGCGGGGGGGCGCTCAGCACCGTGCGCGGGGGCTCAGAACTCCGCGCGGTGCTCGATCTTTTGCTGGCTGGCCCCGGGCCCGGAGGGGGCGCCAAAGACCTTCTGTTTTGGGTGGCGCTGGAGCGCAGGCGATCCCACTGCACCACGAAGGACGAGCCGTGGAGGGGTTTCTCTTGGTTGTCCCCCGACGTCGGTGGGTTGGGAAGCGACACGCTGCAGTGGGTGCAGGAGCCCCAACTCTCCTGCACTGTGCGGAGTTGCGCGGCACTACAGGCCACCCGCGGTGTCGAGCCCGCAGGCTGGAAGGAGATGCGCTGCCACTCGCGCGCCGACGGCTACCTGTGCAAGTACCAGTTCGAGGGCTTGTGTCCTGCGCCGCGCCCCGGGGCTGCCTCTGGCTTGAGCTACCGCCCGCCTTTCCAGCTGTACAGCGCGGCGCTGGACTTCAGTCCCCCAGGGACCAAGGTGAGTGCGCGCTGCCCTGGCCAGCAATCCATCACAGCCACCTGCATCGTGGACGAAGTGGGCGCTCGCTGGGACCGGATACCCTCTGGGGCCGTGCTCTGTCCCTGCCCCGGGAGGTACCTCCGTGCAGGCAAATGTGCAGCGCTCTCTAATTGCCTAGACGACTTGGAAGGCTTTGTCTGTGAGTGTGCTGCGGGCTTCGTGCTGGGGAAAGACCAACGCTCTTGTGTAACCAATGGAGAAGGACAGCCGGACCCTGAGGGAACCAAGGTGCCTACTTGGTACCCGTCGGCCACTGCAGCCAGCCCGTTGCAGAGGAGATGGTCACCCAAGGTGCATGAGAAACCAGAAGAGATTCCCCATATCCCTGGACAGGGCAGTTCAGCAACATATATTCCCGAGATTCCTGGGTGGGGAGCACAGAGCACGATTCCCACCCTTGAAATATCCCCTCAAGTCAACTCAACGGCCCCTGTTACTTCTTCAGGGAACATGATTTCCAAGTCTAATTCCACGTCTTCCTCTGACATTCCCCAGGCTATGGATTCCTGCTCCACCGTGGTCTTCATACTTGTGAGCATAGCAGTAGTAGTGTTGGTGATCTTCACTATGTCAGTGCTGGAGCTTTGCAAACTCTGCTTTCACAAAAGCTTTTCCACTAGGCCACAGAAGGGACCCTTGGCCCCCGCTGACATGGAGAGCGACGCTGAGTCCACTGTCCTGCGCTCCAATTCAGCACATTGTACAGACAATGGGGTGAAGGGTGCAGTCTGCAGGATAGAGCAGAGGGAGTCTCTTTCCACTTTGGAGACCCAGAGAGAAACGGAACAGTGAGCACTTCTTGTGAGCAGTTTTTCACTTTCAATGAAAAGGGAAAAGGAGAGGAGGGGCTTATCTGTGGAACTGACGATTCCTACAGAAGTTCCCTTCCCCTAAATTCCCTCTACTCCACCGAGGGGCTACATATGAACTGGATGCTCCTTCTCTAGTATGGAAGAGGGGGACGTGCCTTAGGTGGTACCGGGCCCAGGATTCTACCGGGGAGAGGTATTTTCTTGTGTTTATCCTGAGAGATTTGAAGAAGTGACTGAAGTTTTTAAGACGTTGGAAGCACATAGAAAACAATACAATGTTTTATTTTTTTCACGGCGAGGCACAGAAAAACTCTGCCTACGTTATTCAGACTGGGAGTATATTGGTTTAGAATTCCCAGGAAAAAAATAAAGGATTGTTGATAATCCAGGCTCAAATATCATTGGTTTCCTTGAGGAGTAATTATATAGGAAGAGCAGCTGAGGGATACGCTGGGCATAGCAAGAGTACATCCCACTTTTAGGTTGAGGGGGAAAACTTGAAGTCCTTGCAATGAGAAGCAGAACTTTAAAAACTAGAAACTTTTTCTTTGGTTCTTTTACACTTTGTTTTCAAAGTCACTGCTATTTGTGCGCTCTGCTATCAATCCAAACGGCAGTGTTGCCAGATTTGCTGACTCTAGAAACAAATTACGGTTGACCACCAATTCAGGTGTTTACTCTTTATGCTTGCTCAAGGAAACAAGTGATTTGTTTTCTCTTCCAATGTTTGCCCACCTAGTGTAATGACGGTCCCAACCAAATAGCCCTCTCCTAAGTATCGGGACACTGATCCTCACTTCCAATTGTGGCAATGCTAATTTTCAATTAAAACATTAATGATAAGTATTGATTTGAAGTCTTCTGGGTGAAAGTAAAAGTAAGATGGGTTTCCTTCAAAGTTGCTGGTTCTTGTGTACTGTTTAATCCACAGAAAAACTTGAATTCCAGACCATTTCCTTCCCCGATTAATAAAAGCATGTGCACTGACCATACATGCTCATCTTGGAATGATTTCAATTTAATAAGAGTCTACATGGACAAAAGTATGTCTAACAGTTTTCCATCAGAATTACTAGTATAAGAATAAATGGTAAATACAAATATTTAACATCTTGTTATGACTTGAATATTAGAAAGTAATCTAAATGGAGCATTGATTCAAAAAACAAAACAATAATAATCACTATATAGTGGAATTGAGACCCCCTTAGAAAATATCCCTCTTTTAGTAGTATCCCAGTTCTTTAAAATTAAATGTGTGAGGTTTGGTGTGAGACAGATAGAGAAACAAGCTTAGCAACCTTGGAATAAATGCAGGATGTTTACACTATATTTTCATAGAACCATTTTGATATTCTTGAGTGTGCAATGCATAAAATATATACGGGATGGGCAAAAGTAAGATTACAGCTGTGAGTACATGAAACACAGAGTTTATTATTGTATTACTTATTTATTATTGTATTATTTATTATTATTAACCTACTTTTGCCCACCCCTGTATATATAATATATATGGTGTTATAACATTAAAGGAATAATGTAACATAACAGGTAATCTGCTTCATTTGTTAAAAGATTTGTCTAAGTAGTTGCATTTAAATAAAGTAACAAATAAATTAGAATTAACATTCAAAGGAATTTTGAATAAAATCATTTTTGCAAACAAATGTGAAGAATAAATAGGTGTCAGCTCAATTGCTCTATTATTTTCCCTTGTTACTTCTCCTTGTAAGTAGATCAGAAAAGAATTACAGAAAACTATTTCATATTTGATTTCCTGACATCAGCAATTGCAGACTAAGCTTCATATAATTTCCTTTGATTTCCAGCTATGAAGTCGTCCATAAAATTTTGAGTCTGGCAGAATCAGGCCAGCCAAGCACAGTGCTCAAGGACTATTTAAGGTTAGGATCAGTGTCCTTCCTCTGTACCACTTCTCCATTGTCACTTCACTACCTCTCCAACCTCTTTGAGATTCATTCCTTTCTTACTTAATAAACCCTCTGCCCTCACTCACATTCATAGCTGTCTCTTCAGTCATTTCCTTAGAACCTAACTTATAGTCTTTCTCTCCAGCCTAAGTCCTGCCATCATCTAACACAATCTCAAAGTCCTCATGCATGACTCTTCCAATGCCATGCATTTCAGTTCCTTGACTTCCTCACTTGAAATGAACTCTACCTCATTTCAGCCATCCACTCCAACAGCCACACCTTAGCCTTCCAGACAATTCTGACACTGCTCTACACAATTTAGGCATTGGTGTGTGTGTACACACATACCTGCTGAAACCTGTATATTAATGAATTTTGCCACTGATTAAAAGTAAACCATTACTGTTGAACTTTGAGATTCCTTCTTTTTTTTTTCTTTATTGATTTTTTTGAAGAGAGAGAGAGAGGGAGAGGGAGAAGGAGGGAGAGAGAGAGAGAGAAAGAGAGAGAGAGAGAGAGAGAGAGAGAGAGAGAGATGAGAGAGAACCTTTTGCATTTTGATGATGATGTGTCTTGGTGTGGGCCTCTTGGGGTTCATCTTGTTTGGGACTCTCTGTGCTTCCTGGACTTGTATGTCTGTTTTCTTCACCAAGTCAGGAAAGTTTTCTGCCATTACTGTTTCAAATAGGTTTTCGATTTCTTGGTCTCTCTCTTCTCCTTCTGGCACCCTCAAGATGTGAATGTTGGCACACTTGAAGTTGTCCCAGAGGCTCCTTACACTCTCCTCATTTTTTGAATTCTTTTTCTTTTTGCTGTCCTGATTTGGTGTTTTTTGGTTCCTTATATTTCAAATCAATGGTTTGCTTCTTGGCTTTACCTACTCTACTATTGAATCTGTGTAAATTATTCTTGATTTCAGTTAGTGCCTCCTTTATTTCTGACTGGTCCTCTTTTATGCTCTTGAGGCCCTCACTAAGTTCGCTGAGGTTCTCAATAAGTTCATTGAGCATCCTTATAAGCAGTATTTTGAACTCAGCATCTGTTAGGTTGCTTATCTCCATTTTGCTTAGTTCTTTTCCTGGGTTTTTGTTCTGTTCTTTCATTTGGGACCTGTTTCTTTGTCTCCTCATTTTGGCTGCCTTTCTGTGTTTGTTTCTATGTATTACTTAACAAGAGGTATGTGGCTAGTTGAGACCTGATGCTCCTTGTTTGAGAGAATTTAGGAAAACCTGAAGCAGGATCCAAGACAGGCCAATCCTATGGTAAAGCAACTGGCAACAGCTTGGGTGGGCCTGAAAGTTGGGTGGAGCAGGGCCTCAGGGAATCACCAGGGTGGGGCAACCAGTATGAGCCAGGTTGCTGGAGTCCCAGATATGGCGGCTGCCTGCCACCCAAGGGAAAGGCTCACCAAAGAAACAAAGGCCTCTGACAGCACGTTTGTCCCAGTGAAAGCCCCCTCTCCAATGCCAAACAGTTCAGTTCTTCCCTGTATGTCTCTGGCACCCCTCAAGCTGCCTCCCCTCCAAGCTTACAGGGAGCGAGTCCGATAAGTCCGTGCGCGGGCCCTTTAAGAGGAGCTGCCTGGGGCTCCAGCTGCCTCAGCCTCCCTGAGCCTCAGTTCCCGCTGGTTTTTCCAGCCAGAAGTTATGGGGATTCTCTTCCTGGCACTGGAACCTTGAGCGGGGCACCTGGTGTGGGACGGGGACCCCTCAGTCCTCAGAGAGAAACCTTCCCAGCAGAGGTGTCCTCCTGATTTTTATCCATCACACATGGGTGTGGGACCAGCCTATCCGCTTCTGCCCCTCCTACCAGTCTCCATGTGGCTGCTTCTTTAACTTCGTAGTTGTAGGACTTCCATTTAGTTTTATTTCAGGCAGTTTTGAATAATGGTTGTTCTGTAGTTGAGTTGTAACTTTGATGTTGTTGTGGGAGGACGCGATACCATGTTTACCTACCCGCCATCTTGAGCAGAAGTCAATACAGGTTCCTAAAGCTATAAATTTTCCTCTAAGCACTGCTTTAATGGCACCCAGTAAGTTTGGCCATTTTGTGTTTTTATTTTCATTCATCTCAAAGTATTTTCTAATTTCCCTTGTGTGTGTGTGTGTGTTTTAGTCCATTGGTTATTTAGGAAGGTGTTGCTTAATTTCCACATATTTGCCAACTTTCCTACATTCCTTCTGTCATTAATTTGATTTCACTGTGATTAAATAACATACTTTATATGGCTTCAATCCTTTTAACTTACTGAGTCATGTTTTATGGTCTGTCCTGGAGCCTGGCATATTCTGGAACATGTTCCACAGGTGCCCGAGAAGATTGTGTATTCTGTTCTTATTGGGTAGAGGGTACTATTGAAATCTGTTAGGACTAGTTGGGTTATATTTTTAAGTCTTATTTCAGTTTAATCTTTTCTTTAGTTATTTAAGACATTATTGAAAATGGCTACTGAGGTCACTAACTTTTAATATTGAATTATTTATCTCTTCCTTTAGTTCTGCCAGTTTTCAAGAAAATGTATTTTGGAGCTCTGTTTTTAAGTACATATATGTTTATAATTATCATATCTCCTGATATATGAGTTCTTTTATCATTATAAAATGTCACTCTTTATCTCTAGTAACTTTTTTGTTTGTTTTAAAGTCTATTTTGCATGATATTGGTATAGCAACTTCAGCTTCTTAAGGTTCCTTTTTGCTCGGTATATCTTTTTGCATCAACCTTTTTGCAATTGATATATTTCAACCATTTATGTCTTTGAATCTAAAGTGTCTCCTGTAGACAGTATATAGTCAGATTATTTTCTTTAATCCATTCTCCAACCTCTGCCTTCTGAATAGATATTAAATGCATTTGTCATTAGTATACTTAGTGATAAGGTAGGTTATATCTACTACTTCCTATTTGCTTTCTTTTAAATTTTTTTTCTTTATTGATTTTAGGGAGAGAAGAAGGATGAGAGAGAGAAAGGGGGGGCATTGATGAGAGAGAACATCGATTGACTGCCTCTTGCATGTTCCCCCACTGGGGATTTGACCCACAATCTGGGCATGTGCTCTGACTGGGAATGGAACCAGTGACCTCTTGGTGCATGGGTCAATGCTGAAACACTGAGCCAGAGTGGCTGGGCCCTATTTGCTTTCTACGTGTCTTGTTTCCTTTCTGTTACTCCATTATTGTTTTCTTTTATATTTAACA